CAAGGCCCTCGGTGGGTGCCCTCTGTCTTTTTACCCAGACCTCTTGGGGCCGCTGATTCCTSGTCTGTTCCGGGAGAGTCACCGTTCATGGCCTGCAGCGCCCAGATCGGGGGKCGGGGAGACAGAGTCAGACAGTGGGTGAGGCTCTGAGGGCAGAGGGTGGTCATGAGGCAGGGCTGGAAGTCAGGMAGCCGCTCCTGGGAAGACACCGGGTGGTGTGAAAAGGAAGTAGCCTTTGCAAAGTGCCGAACACAAGCTCTGGGTCATGTGCGGGGTCATCAAGAGCCGCTTTCTGTGCCTGCAGAGAAGTGCAAGCCAAGAAGGAAGGGCCACTGTCCACCGCTGTCTGCAGGGGAGGTGGTGTGTGGGTCTGAGAATTCTCTTTTGAATTGCCAAAACCTGTATTTGAGTCCTGATAACTGTGCGCATGGATGGGGACGGTGGGACCTGTCAGTACAGGTGTGCAGCGTGTGATGATCAGATCCAAGCCCTCAGCACGGCCGTCACCTCCAACGCCTGTCATTTCTCTGTGGGAGGCATGTCCACGCTCCTCTCCATGACCTATTTTGAAGTATAGAGTTAATGGCTGTCAATCATAGTCACCTCATTGTCCTACGGAACATTAGGAGCTACTCCTCCTATCCATCTACACCCCGGTACMCGTTAGTCCTCTCCTCTCTGTCCCCGTGTCCCCACCCCCTCCCAGGCTGCAGTGTGGTTCAGGAATTCTTGAATATAAGAGTTGAGGACAGAGTCAAGTCAAGAGGTGGTACCCTGTGGCTGGCTCACCTGTCTCCCCAGCTCAACCACGAGATCCCCGGCACACAGTAGCTGGCCGCAGAATGTCCGCCAGATCCATGAGTGACCAGCAGCGGTGACAGCGTCGGGACGACATTTGTGTCAGCATTTAACCTCCAACAAATCCCACTCACTGCGGCCATTCCAGGTTGCAAAAGAGACCCCCGTGCAGGATGCCTTCGATTCTGTACAAAATGGACAGCAAATTCCTTCCTTCCTGTCCCTCTCTCGCTCACAGGCCCTTAGAATTCATGGTCCCTAAGCAGGAAGAACATGGTGCTGCTTTGGCCAAGCTCCAGATCAAGGGATGTTTGCACAATGACATCCAGTGAGTTGGTCTTTGAGGAATGAGCAAGGACACCTRTGGATTTGAAACCAGCCTCGCCCCTCGTTCACTTGTCCTCATTCTGCATTCCCCTAACAATCCTGGGCACGGTGCCCACCCTCATCTCCATGGACAAAGACCCTGGCCCCACAGCGTGGAGGAGGAGGGATCAGTGGGGACCTGGGCACCTCAGGGGCCACCTTTCTCTCTGAGAGCTGTTCTGTCACTTCCTCAATTCAAAAGGACTGATTGTCCTCAAGGCTCTAGACTCTGGGTTCTGTGAAACTCAGAATTAATGCAGGAAACGAATCATGTATTTCCCTGGCTCAGGCCAATTAGCACAGATCAAATTTCACACTAATTGGCTTAGGTGGGAAGAGGACGGTCCCYGTGTGGGAGAGGAGGCTGATTCAGGGACCAGGTGGTGGAGGTCAGGGGCGTGTGTGATCCGGGGCCTTCCTGGGTTGCACTGGCCTGATGGGCGGCCACGGCTAGGCGGGCTCCCCCCAAGACCAGGTGCTTTCCCCCGGCCATCAGCACATCTGACACTCAGAGCCCAGTGTGCGCCCAGGTTGGGTGGCAGTGACTCCTGAACTAGTTGTGCACAAGATCGCCCTGGAGCAGGGTGAAATGCAGGTCCCGGACTCTGCCCCAGAGGCCGACTGGGGGGAATCTGAGGGTCCTGGAATTTGCATTTCACAAACACCTCACGTAATTGCAACCCAAGGACTTCCCCAGTGCATTTTATTTATTTAATTTCTGGCTACCAGGCATTGAACCCAGGGGTGCTTTACCACAGAGCCACACACCCAGAGTGTTGTGTTTTGTTTTTTTGAGATAGGGTCTCACTGAGTTGCYCAGGACCTCCAGTTTTGAAAGGTGCTGAGGCTGGCTTTGAACTTGCCATCCTCCTGCCTCAGCCTCCCAAGTCACGGGGATGACAGGTGTGCGTCAGCTCACACTAGTGCATTTAAAAGACAGTGTAAGAAAGGTCAAAGGGTGCTCCATCTCCCAGGCACACACTGGAGAACCCTCCTTCCTGAGCTGCCTGGTGGTCCTGACTTGGATCTGAGAGGCCTGGGTTCRGGTCTCGCCTCCTGTTCTATGAGTTTGCAATTCTTCCCCCGAGCCTCGCCTTTTCTCTGTTTCTCTTGAAATCTGCGTTTTGACTGAGCAGCTGCTGAGGTGCTGAACCAGGTGGGGGGTGAGGGGATGAGGGGGATGGAGATCACGGGGTGAATAGAGCAGCCCCTGATTTGGTGGCACAACTATTTTTTCCTCTTTTTGRAAAATAGTGTGTTTTGTTTGCTGATTATGAAAGTGGCTAAAAAATTGACAACCCAGAAACATCACAAATAAGTTGGAGTCCCCTGTGAGCCCATCCCTGTAAGAAAAAAACATCCCCACGGACAGTCTGGGAGCGCTTTGTTCTGTGCAAAAACAAGCAAGCGCCGGATCACTTCAAACAGCCTTGGGTCCTTGATCTTGATCTTGGGGATTTTTTCCAGGCAGAATATTCAGATGTACACCTTCCTTTTTTTTTTTTTTTTTTTTTGTACTGGGGATTGAACTCAGGGGTACTCAGCCACTGAGCCCCATCCCCAGCCCTATTTTGTGTCTTATTTAGAGACAGGGTCTCACTGAGCTGCTTAGGGCCTCCCTTTGGCTGAGGCTGGCTTTGAACTCTCCATCCTCCTGCCTCAGCCTCCCGAGCCGTTGGGATGACAGGCGTGCACCACTGTGCCTGGTTTACATCTTCCTTCTTTTGGGGCAGAAGACTGATTTTGAGCCTGCCTGGCAGGTGACAGTATCGACAGGGACCARCTCAGAAGGCAGACTTGTTCCATGATGGGGGACCATTTGGCTTCTGTCTGAACACAGCCCCAGTCGCCCCTGAGGACCAGGCATGACACAGGGGCTGACGGGAGGGGGGAGCTGGGACATTGCACGGCCACCCTAGGTGCAGCTTCAGCRTGTCGGGGGACAGGAGACCTCACCTAACTCAGTGCATTTTGCGGTTCGGGTGACCCAAGCCCCAGAGGGGAGACTGTCCAAGGTCACACACCACAGTGATCATAGCAACTGGACTTGAACCCCGTACCCTGCCTCTTCCATATTCGCTCTCTGCCTCTCGACTGTGGTTTTCGTGGACTGTATCATTTGAGTTGTGACGGGCTGTGTTGGTGGATCTATACTGAGGTACAGGCACGTYGATTCCTAACGTCAAGCCAGTTAATAGACTTGTCATCTCCTATAGTGACGTTTCTCCTCCTTTGGTGGTAAGAGTACCCACATCTGCYTTCTAGGTCCACGAGCTGCCCCTGGACACAAGCAGCTGCCCCCGGGCTGCTCAACCTCCCCTCCCCTGCAGCGCCACTGCTGAGCTCCTTGGTCTTCACTCTGCACCAATGTGCTTTCAGGGCATAAACTTGAAGGCTGCATTTCAGAACAGGAAGACCACAGAAGCCCCGACCCATTGGGCATTTATAGTCGGTCAGTGTATTGGAAAATAAGAATGAAAATAAAAGCAAAAATCAAGTCAGTAGAACTGGGAATTCATTTAAGATTGTTTTTAAACTTCAGACGCATGCAGTTTCACGCCCTGGGTTACCTGGTGGGAGCGCCTCCTTTGCATATGAACTTCTGACTCGAGTTCTGCTCTTTTTTCTCGTTAATCCATACCCTTAATATCCAACCACACGATTCTCAGTCTTGACATTTTTTTTTCTTATTTTTTGATACTGAGACTTGAACCCAGGGGCACTTAACCCCTGAATGGCATCACCAGCCCTCTTTATTTTTTATTTTGAGGCAGGGTCTCTTTAATTGCTTAAGGTCTCACTGAGTTTCGAAGACTGGCCTTGAACTTGTGATCCTCCTGCCTCAGCCTTCCAAGTCACTGGGATTACTACAGATATGTGCCATTGTACCTGGCTCAGTTTAGACTTCTTCCAAGTCATGTGAATAGAAAAATTTATTTTACACGTCTAGTTTTTGCAACTACATGGATTTGATGGCTTTTTATTAATTCCTTCCAAAACATTCAACCTAATTGTCATGGAAAGTCTTGCATAGCCGTATTCTCCAGGTTCCTGTGCTAGTTGATAGGTGTTACAGTAAAACTGCAACTTACAAAAGCAGGTTGGAAATGCACCCAGTTGGTACTAAGTGTGCATGGCTATCACCTGGCAGGGGCAAGTGGCCCCCAGGGACACACAGAGGCCTCTAGGCTGAGAGCATCCACAGGCCGGGGCGATCTGTCCATCTGTGTGTGGACTTTCAGCTTCTGAAACCTGTCTTGGAGGTGCCATGGATGAGGTGACCAACTTTAGCTTCTATCCACCTTTGGTTTGGTCCATGGATTAGTCCTTTTCTGTTACTAAAATGAAATAACAGAGGCAGGATTCTTTACAAAGAAAATAGGTTCATTTACCTCACAGGTTTTCCCCATCATCCCTGGGGAGCCTACGATCAGTCCTGCAAGGAGCCTGGATAAGAAGAGCTTCCATTAAAATGCTGTTTTGATTGAGCATTTATTATGTGCCAGGCACCGGGATAAGTTTCCCATGGATCATTTCACTGAATCCCAAAGCCATCTGGTATGTTACTGCCCTCCTTTTTAAAAGAAGAAGACTGAGAATCATTTAAGCATTCTGCTTGCCTTAAAGTCACGCTCAGGTAGTGAGTACTGGACCAAGAATCCTGGCACATCAAGGCCAGCGGTATCCTGACGTCTGTCCTCTCCACAATTGCGCTACATGGCTTCCCCCTGACAGCCCGTGATGGGGCCAAGGGGGTTGCCGTGGAGGGTGTCTGGGGTGAGACAAATCAGTGGTTCCAGTGAGTGACCCTGCCCTGCCTCCCCACCTGTCCCCAGATTGCTGACTTGACCACAGAGCTGGCAGACGAGCGCTTCAAAGGGGACGCGGCCTGCCAGGCGCTGGAGAGCGAGCGGGCAGAGCGGCTGCAGGCCTTCCGGGAGGCCCAGGAGCTCAAGGTAAGTGTTAGGGTGCTGAGCAGGGTGACAGGGCACGGCTGCCTGCCTCCCAGTGCTCAGCCCTGGGATCATAAGCCTAAGCAAGGTGCACAGGTGGACCAACTCCAGGCTCAAGGATCTTGGGGACAGTGGGTCTTCCTAAGGCACGGCCGTGGAAAGTCCTTGGCTGTGGAGGCCCAAGGGTGAGGATGGTGCAGCAGGTGGGCATTCCTGGTCTCAGAGGTGCCATGGATGAGGTGACTGACTTTGGCTTCCGTCCACCTTTAGTTTGGACCTGTATTAGTCCTTTTCTGTTACTATCACCAAATACCTGAGGCAGGAATCTTTATAGAGAAAATAGTTTTATTGAACACATTTAGAGGCTGAAAGTCCAAGTTTGGGCATCACTATTGGTTTGGAGTCTGATGAGGGTCCACCGGCAGATGGCATCATGGCCAGAGCTCATGCGGAAGGCAGCGAGAGGGCCCAGTGCTAAACAGAAAGCTGAGCCAGGGCTGGGGGTCCAGGCTTGCTCCTTACAACAACCCTCTCGCAAGAACAAACTTGCGGTCCCACCAAAACTGAATCCGTTCCAAGGGGACAAGTTCTCCATGAACTGAGGACCCCCACCAGGCCCTATCTCTTMACATGCCACCAGGAGGACCTGTCCCCCTACACATGAGCTTGGGTGGACAAACTCCAGCCATCTCCAAATCATGGCTCGCCTTGGTCTCTTTCTTCCAGAGCAAGTACGAGCAAGTCCAGAAGAAGTTGGGAGAAGTAGAGAAGCAGTTGGAGGAAGCCCAGCAGAAAATTCAGCTGAATGACGTGGAGAGGAGCCACGCGGCGGGAGGTGAGCCACCCAGGACCCCGGGGGGTGGGTGCTGGAGGACATGGCTGTCTTCTGACTTAACTGGTTCATTGGTGCATGCCAAGCACCTGCCATGTCCTGCACAGCCCCTCAGAGTCCCACACAACAGTGGACAGGCACCGTGTAATGCAAAACTATATTTCCCACTTTTGGTTGGGATCATTCTTTAGTCCTTTTCTGTTACCATGGTGAAATCTGAGGCAGGATTCTTTACAAGGAAAACAGGTTTATTTAACAGGTTCTCCCCATCCTCCTGGAGGAGAATGATGATCCATCCTGCAAGGAGGCTGGCTAAGAGGGGCTTCCATGAAAATACTGTTTTTATTGAGCATTTATTATGTGCTCCATCAAAACAATAAATATCCGTGTGACAGGCACTGGATGATGCAAAGAATAAAAGATGGCGGCTCGATGAACGAGACCCTCTTATGTTCCCAGGGATATTTGAAGTATGAATTTTGAAAAAGGTGAAACCTCTGCAGTTGGATTCCTGGATTCTGATCTGGGTTCTGTCTTAGCGGGTGTGTGGCTTTCAGTTTAAAACAAGATCGCCGTGCCTCAGTTTCCCCATCTTCAAATGGCGAGAGTTATGATCAGTACCAATCGCGGCCCCCCTCTGTGAGGTGCGGATGCTGAACGGGTGTTTGCTGCTTTATCGACGTTGTTAGGAGAAATCGTGGGTCACTGCCTTTCTTCATACCAACCAACTCCACAGAAGCACCCCGTCCCCTATTAGAGATGACAAAGCTGGCTGCCAGGAGCTGAGGGTCTCTCCCTTCTCCAGTGATAGATGGGTTCAGTAGTGCCAGGATTTCCTGGGCGTGCCCTTTTGACCCAGGCACCTGGGGACGTCTCGTGGTTGGTGGCATGGTGACGTGGTTGTCAGCTTGCCCCTGCCTCCTGGTTCTCCCCAGCCTGATGGAGTCAGGTGATGAGGAGAGCCATTGGGTCAGCATCTCTAAAATGCCAGGATCCTGCCTCCAGTGTCCCCAGAGAGTTTATGCCCTTGAAATGTCAGGACGCTCCCCGGAACAGAAGTCAGGGGTCCACCAGGGGAGACGGGCTGGGTGTCTCCTGTGCTCCTGCCCCGCACGCATCCTGGACCGCCTGGGCAGGCACTTCCCAGGAGGTCAGCACACAGGAGCCTGTGGTGTGGGAGGCCCGAGAGGCAGGGTTCCCGGGGACTCTCCACCAGYTGCATCTGACCCAGGTCTCCGTGAGGTTCCCGGTTGGTGTCCTCTGGAAAGACCAGGGAGTCCCGCGCTGAGCTCCAGGGCACAGCAGTCCCCCACTAAACAGGCTCCCAGCCCTGGATGCCCATTCCCSGAAATCAACCCACAAATATTTTGTGTTTCATTATGAAAGTCATACATACTCATTAGAGAGTATTTCTAAAAGGGAGGAAAGTTGAAAGAAGCAATCAGACACTTTAATCATGCCACCGCCGCAGCCCCCCACCCGCCTCTGCRGATCCAGCTGGAGTATTAATTATCAAAAACAGACTCCTTCTTTATGCGTGGCTGCACCGTGAAAGAGAGTCTTTGATGCTGTGCACCTAGAACTGAGCTGCACACTGCGGGGTTGCAGGAGGATTTTGGTCGGGACTTACTTTCGAGAAATTTGCAGTATCAATGTGGAGATCAGATAAACCCAGGGAAAGAGTGACTTGATAAGGAGGGACTGAACTAGACACCCTGACCCACAGGGACACCCTGGGCAGGGGAGGCACAGGACGGGGTGATTCTTGAAGGACGGAGCACCGTCTCCTCACCCGTCCCTGAGCACCTTGTAGAGGGAGCCCCCGGGGCAGGAGCGCTGCAGAAATGTCATGCTGCTGGTTACCCTCAGAATTTGTCCTGGTAGGTGACAGGATTCCTTTCCCACCATGATATTATGTATCTTGGTGGAAAACTGAATGAATTTTAATTCCTTAATATCACGTCCTCCTCCTTTAACTTAGTGATGTAGAGCTCTGTAGTGGGGTTACCTCTTCAAAGACGGCGATCCTACTGCCCATTCATCCATCCACACACCTGTTCACCTGTACTGCTATCCATTTATCTTTCCATTATCACACACTTATGTATCTATTTATCTATCCACTTGCCTATCCATTTATCAATCTATCTATTCACTTATCCATCCATCCATCATGTATGCCAAGGACTCACAGCTTCTCCAACCTAAAGGATTATGGAATTTCTTTGGAAAAAGAAAATATGAATCCACTTACAAAGGCAACCGAATAGTATAAGGCAGTGGATCTTRGAACAACGGGTCATTAAGTACTTTAGACAGCTGGAGGCAGTCAGAGCAGGCTSTCCAGAGGAAGTAGTTCATCAACTTGGCTAGCCAGCATAGCTTCCTAACCTGAAGCCCAAGATCGAGGTCCCGGGGCTCCATGGATTCTGTGAAATCGCATCCAAAGAGCCAAGAAAGTGGCAGAGAGGCCACCCTGGCCTCCTCCTCACCTGGCCTCCCATCCCGGCCTCCCTGACTCTGTTAAACAGCAGATGAGTGGCAGATGCGCTTCGACTGTGCTCAGATGGAGAATGAGTTTCTCAGAAAGCGGCTCCAGCAGTGTGAGGAGAGGCTGGACTCAGAGCTGACATCCAGGAAAGAGCTGGAACAGAAGGTAAGAGGGGAGCGCATCGTCTGGCCACAGGTGTCAGGGAGTGGGCCGGTGAGTGACCCATGGTTGGGGACGGAGGAGGAGAGGAACCACCAGCCGCTTCATGGCTTTCCACCTGGGCAGAGGTTACAAATTCTGGTCCCTGTGGGACTTGGAAACCGTCCTCTCCCCCCGTGGGCCCCGGTCTGAGCGCGGAGCACTGTGTGGTGTTGGGAGCACACACGCCCACTCAGGATGGTCCAGGGCCTGTTTCCGCCTCTGCCGGTCCTCGTGAAAGCCACCTTACCTTCTGGGCCCGAGGTCTCCCTCTAAGATCCTCACAATATACTTCTAAAGCAGTCACATGGACCGCTCCCGTTGCCCCGTGCTGATGTCACCTCCATGTCCCACCTAGACCAGCGCAACCCCTGCTCACCAGTCCCCTCCCTCCAGCCTCTGGCCTCCCCACCACAGCCCAGCCCTTCAGGAGCGTCATGCTGTGCGACTCTCTGGGCGGGTTTTCTTGTGAATTTTGTGAATTTTGATCCTGAGCTCATCTCCAGCGCCTCCCTCTGCTGCCCCCACAGTCCCAGGTGCTCTGCGCTGTGGATTTTTTACATCTTCTCTCATGTGATGTCTGTGTCTCTTTATTGTGAGTTGATCTTCAGCAGATTTTTTTCTTAAACTTTTTATTGATTTTACTGGAGTCTTTGGTAGCGGGGGGTGGGAGTTTCCCACTACAGGAAACACTGTTGTGTGTTCTTCTGCAGTGACCCCTCAGATGACACTGGGTTGTCGGCCTCAGATATGAAAAAGTGTCCATCTGTAAACCCACATGAGGCCTAGACCAATAATATTTTGTTTTGTTTTGGTTTTTTTGGGGGGTACCAGGGATTGAACTCAGGGCCCTTGACCACTGAGCCCCATCCCAGCCCTGTTCTGTGTTTTATTTAGAGACAGGGTCTCCCTGAGCTGCTGAGGGCCTCGCTGTGGCTGAGGCTGGCTTTGAACTCACGATCCTCCTGCCTCAGCCTCCTGATCCTCCTGTGTGTCACTGAGCCCACAGTTTTGATTTCTGATGGAAGTACTTTCTTCCCCACCCAGAGCCGGAGCAGAAGCAAGCCTTGGTACCACCTGCCAGGCCAGTGGTTCTGTAGAACTTTTCTTGTGCCTTCCCCATGAGGCACARCTCTTTGCAGGCCCTACTGGGCCAGGGTCTCCATGTTGAATCCCTCCCTCCCCATGGTCCACGGCCTTCCCTCTATTCCTGGACAAGCAGAACTCCCAGTCCTTGGAGAACATTCCCGCTGCCATAATATCATTATCTCCCATTATCATTCTGACTTTGTGCCTTCTGTATTTCCCATATCCGGAAATCTCCCTCTTGAACACCAAATAGACACCACAGATGTCATGGAGTCTCGCTCCTCTACGACACGGTGCTGTCTAGCCTTTCGGGGTGTGCCCAGGGACAGCTGGACGCCTGTGCCTGTCTCCCATCGCCACTGTCAAGTGGCCACTGTGACGTCACTGGGCGGGAGTCTGGAAGACACGTGCAGAACTGGCTCTGTCCACACCGGCACACCCCGCCACGCCTCTCGCCACCTGTTCTTACAGAGCTCCGCGACAATGCCTCTCTTTGAAAGTCTTTCCCGATGGAGACGGGAAGTCCCTCCATGATTTCCCTGAATCTGCACTGAGGGGTCCATTCATTTCCCCGTCTCCACCGCTGGACGGACGGCCAGGGGGGCGGAGATTAAATTAGGGGCCTGTCTTACTGCTCTGTCCCCCGTGTGAGAGAAAGACACCACCCATCACCCGGCAGAGGCGGGTGGGTGAGGTCACAGGATCCCACCAACCACAGAAGTGAGGCTCGGTGTGGCCCCTGGCAGTGGTGATGGTCACGGTCATTTCTGAGATGGACACAGCACTGTGATCCTCAAGAGAGAGCCTGACTGCGGCCACACGAGGGCCAGGGCGGGCGAGAGTCCAGCTCTTTAATAACAAATCATGAAGCCGGTCCGTTTCCCTAAGGAAGGGGGCAATATCCATGCTACATTAAAAAGTAATAAAGCCGCCACCTTTTCTGAGCCACAGAATATAAGAAAACATCCCATTTGCCTCCAAATACTGAATTGAGAATTACAGGCTTCATTAACTCAGAGTTCTGCTTATTTAAAGCAACTCTTTAATGAGGCCATTTCTTCAAAGCGTGTGTGCTGGGCTGTGGCCTCCCCCAGCCCCAACTAGGACAGTGGACGGTGCGTCCYGGGGGAGGGCACGTGGCTGGGCTCCCGTGTGTCAAAAGCCAGGCGCACTCTGCGTGACGCAGCCCGTCCACAGCGCCATCCACTGCTCCACTCTCTGACCTCCCCCTCGGGCTTCCCCAGGCAAGTTTTGGCAGCGTCATGGCTGATTCTGACAAATGTCTCCCAATGAGGCCAGGTGACGGGGACAGGGACTCCCYGATACTCAAGGGACATCAGGTGGAGGCAGGGTAGAAATTCTGTGGGTGTTTTGGTGGGAGGTTTATTGAGGAAAAATGAAAACAACCCTATTTTTCCCCTGAGAAAACTGAGATCCACTAGAGAAGCTTCCGGAAGGTGACCCAGAAAGTGGACAAGATCGACTAGTGGACACAGAAGTGTTTCCCCAGTGTTATGCTCACTCAGAAGCCGTGTCTCCCAGGAGTGTTCAGYGCCCAGAGGGCACGTGCTTCCTCTGTCCCCCCACAGCTCGCCCAGCTGCAGAGCGCTTACGAGGAGGCCAGGAAGACAGCCCACCAACTGAAGAGGAAGTGCCACCACCTGACCTGGGACCTGGAGGACACCCGCGTCCTGCTGGAGAACCAGCAGGGCCGAAACCACGAGCTGGAGAAGAAGCAGAAGAAGTGAGTTGTGTCCCAGCTGTCCCCTGGACTGTGGGGTGGGCTGCATTGGTGCTGGGGTCCTCTGGGACCTCTGGGTTCTCTTCTGAAGGACAGGTTAAGGCCCTGGTTTGGCCCCAATTTTCCTTCCCCTCCTCCTCACCCGTTATTCCTGTAGGTACTACCCAAAAAAATCCAGCAACAAACAAACAGACAAAAAGATTCTCTTCTCTTACCCAGCCCAGTGACCCTATGGCCATGTGACCTTGGGGAATTTTCTTGGCTGCTCTGAGCCTCAATCTCTTCATTTGTCAAACGAAAGGTCTGTGGGAGGAGATCGAGTCAGTTTAGGAAGGTGGTCAGGAGCCCCGGTGCTGCCTAAAACCATCTGGTTCAAGCCCCAGCTTGCCATCGCTAGCCCTGTGACCCTGTGACCCTGACCTGGGCCTTCAACCCTTCCCCACCTCCGACTCCATACCTGTAGGTTGGAGATGAGGCGCCCCCTTGTGGTGAGAACTCCATGATGTGGTTGGTACCTCCAAATGGACTGAATTTGGGTTTCCATCCTCAGTGTTGACAAAAGGATAAAGAAAAAAGAAAAAAAGAGTTCCTTCCTTTCTCATTTAGGGCTTAGAGGCTCAGATCCTGGGAGCAATCTGGCAGGGACTGGAACTTGAACATCAACAAAATGTCAAGTTCTTAATGTGTGCACACCGGTTCCCATGTCGGCTTTCCTGTGAACCAAGTGCACAAGGTTTTGCAGACAGGCCAGGCTCCCGGGGTGCCTGGATGCTGTCCCCTCCAGGCCTGGAGAGGAGGGGTCGGTGGCCTGAGCTTCCTCATGCAAATCCTCCCCATCTGGAGGTCCCTCCCCTGCACAGCTGGGCTCCGTCCAAGTCCTCAGCTCTCTGAGGCTTTAGAGCCTGGGAATCTCTAGCAGACAYTTCATAGACTGCAAATGGGTATAATGCAGCCTCTCTTTTAGGATATTCAGGATAAAACAGAAAAACGTTCCTATGTGGACCAGGAGCAGTTTTGCCGGGGGTGCATCTTTTCCAAGACACAGCAGGCAGAATTGTATTTCCACGAGAGTGTTAGAGATTTCAAAATCCATTTGCATTAAATAATTTTTTTTCATTTATCCTTGAACCTTCCAGAGCTGGCTTCTGCATCTGGAAAAAATAATGACCCTTGAACACGGTTGGCGTGCTCCCCAAATAAGAGAGGTTTATTCTCACCCCTCTCCGCTCCCTCTCCCAACTCCCTCTCGGCACTCTGGCTAAGTCTCCCTTGCACTGGAGAAAATGGCGCAAGTCCCCCTTGGCCACTTGCTGGGTGGCCTTGCCAAGTGACAGGTCTCGGGGCCAGTGAAGGACTAACCACATTTCAGAGGAATCCCTGGACGTCACAGGCCACTGAAGAACGTCCTGAGAGACCCCAGCCCTAAAATGAGAGGTGCGCCTCCACTGTCCCCAGCGTCCTCCCAGCTGGGACTCTACTCTGGCCTTGCTCCTCTTCTGAGGGTCTCCGCTCTCTGACCATGGAGATCCAGGCAGCCTGACGGTTGTGAGGGGGACCCAGATGCCAGGCACCAGCACACTGTAGACGCAGCGGCCTGCCCGGCTTGCTGGCCCGGGACGCTGTGCTGAGACAGGCTCCCTGAGTCTCATCCCCACTCTGCCTTCCAAGTTCAGAGGGCCCTGGAATGGTCCCACAGGAGAGTTGGGTTCCGGTTGCCATGGTTACGCAGGGTCACAAAGCTCCGCCAAGGCTGATGGGACTCTTAGAGAAGCCTGTTGCTAGGCTGGTGACTGCCCCACCTGGACCTCAGGCCTGCCCCTGGTGGGGTGAAGGGGGTGTGCAAGTCTGTCTGGCCTCAGGGTGGGGGTTCTCAGTGGGTTCTAGAAGCTGGGGTCTAGAGGAGCCTTTTGTTGGCATTAAGTGGCCTGTTTGCTCATGGACTCCTCTGGAACATCAGTCACTGGCTCCCTCTGGCTTCCTTCACCTGTCCCAGGGCATGGACAGGTAGATGGGAGGGGGTAGTTAGACACCGGGGAGCTGCCTTCAGCTCACTTCCACTACTTTGGGATTCAAGACTAAATCACTCTCTGAACCTCAGACTCCTCCTCTGTGAATGGGTATCCTAACATACATCTTCCTGCATGTTGTCAGGACTCTGGGGGCCCCAATGCAGAGCCTGGCGAATGGCACTCATGGAGCCTTACTATCCTGTTGTCACCCTGTTTCCATTCAGGGGCAGCAAAGAGCACTTCTTGAATGATGTCACCAATAGCCCATCAGAAAGTTCCCGGGGTGGTCCAACAGGAGGGCTCCCTTATGTGATGTGATTGGCTTTCTCAGGAGTCTCAGATTTTGAAGGACAGCTGATGTCCTGGGACATGGGATAGTCTTATATCAGGGGCACCATCTTGTCTCCAAGGCCCAAATCCCAGGAGCCACATCCCGTTCTCTGGAGCATTGGGACTTTCTCTTTGTGATTCACTGAGGCCTGGCAAAGGGTCTTCTGCTGCTGTCCTCATCTGTGACGGGGACGGGCTGAGACCAGGAGGGGATGATGGGAAGTCCAGGAGGTTCTTCTTACCCGCTGGTTCCCCCTCCTGGAGGGACAGATGTGCCTCAGGAGAGCCCCAGCGGCTCTCGGGAGCACTGTCTCATCTTTGTGTCTTTTGCTGGAGGAACGAGGACAAGATGTCCAGCATCTCGTCAAAAATTAGCAGACTTTAATTTGGCTAACGAGTGCATCAGCCAGATGGCATGAGTGAGGCTCTCCCTGTTGGCATGGAGACAGGACATCGTGTGTGAGTGTGTGTACATAGGTTTGTTCCTGGGTCAGTGAATTTTAGATGCCAAACCCGGTAGAATTAATGGGTCTTTTTTCTTGATGTGCTTTGGCGGATCAGAGGCGTGCTCTCTCTCTCCATGTATACATCATCATTTACTGTATATATTAATTTCTCTTCTACATCAGTGTCTACTCTAATTTTATTTTGTCTATGTACTTTTATCAGGTTTTTAATAAGTATTCGGTGTTTTCCACAAACACTGTGTAGGTGCTAAGAAATTCCTCTGTAGCGTCTCAGCTTCCGGCCACACTCACAACTGTCCCCTGGAACCCTGAGCCAATCCTCCCCAGCTTGGCCTCCTCCTCTCCAGCTCCGCCCAACCCTCCCCTGCTCCATCACCTCCCCAGCTCCATCACCTCCCCACAGGCCACGCCCAACCCTCCCCAGCTCCACCTTCTCCTCTCCTGCCCGGCCCAGCCTTCCCTGGCTCCTCCTCCTCCCCTCAGGCCCCTCCCAACCCTCCCTGGCTCCTCCTCCTCCCCTCAGGCCCCTCCCAAACCTCCCTGCCTCCACCTCCTCCCTTCAGGCCCTGCCCAACCCTCCCTGGCTCCACCTCCTCCCTTCAGGCCCCGCCCAACCCCCAGCTCCGCCTCCTCCTCTCCAGCCCCGCCCAACCCTCCCCTGCTCCATCACCTCCCCACAGGCCACGCCCAACCCTCTCCAGCTCCACCTTCTCCTCTCCAGCCCCGCCCAGCCTTCCCTGGCTCCTCCTCCTCCCCTCAGGCCCCGCCCAGCCTTCCCTGGCTCCTCCTCCTCCCCTCAGGCCCCTCTCAACCTTCCTGGCTCCACCTCCTTCCCTCAGACCACGCCCAACCCTTCCCGGCTCCTCCTCCTCCTTCCCTCAGGCCCCGGCCAGACCCTCCCGGGCTCCTCCTCCTCCCTCCCGGCCCCCCCCCCCCCCCTCCGCCTCCTCCTCTCCAGCCCCACTTAACCCGGCTTTAGTTTCCCCACCCCGTGCAGTGACATGTGTTCTGCCTTGGGCAGGTTTGACATGTGTTCTGCCTTGGGCAGGTTTGACATGCAGCTGGCTCAGGCCCTGGGGGAGTCGGTGTTTGAAAAGAGTATGCGTGAGAAAGTGTCGCAGGAGAACAACAGCGTTCGGTGGGAGCTGGGGCAGCTCCAGCAGCAAGTCAAGGTAGGCACTGGGGACATGGAGGTGGCCGGATCTCCTGAAACCCCACCACACACCTGTGCAGATGGAAGAGAGCCCGTGCAGATGCCTGGGTCTGCCCGGCGCTGGAGTCAGGTCCCCAGCGTGTCTCATAAAACAAACAGTGGTTGGCCCATTGACAATCAGACCTCCAGAGTGTGAGGTCGTGGTCTTGCTCCAGTTACCTGCACAGAGTCCAGGGGTCTGCCTGGGAGGGACAGCGGGCCCAGCAGAAAGTGAGCTATCTATCACCTTGTCCAGGAGCCAGGCCTGTCCCGGGCAGACGCTCATGCAGAGGGGTTTTATTAACATATGACTTGGGTGCCTCTCCAGGCGCTGCTGTATCCTTCTGTGGCTCCCTGTTGCCCCCAGGACCTCATGCCCTTGAGCCTGGAGTTCAGCTCCCTGGTGGCCTAGCCAAATGTCCTCAGGCTGGAGCTGACCTCCCTACTCAGAAGGGCCATTTGGACATGGCCGCCCCTTGCTCCGATGTCTCCTCCCAGCCCCAGTCTCCTCCCAGCCCCAGTGGGCACAGAGAGCGGGTTCAGTTCCAGGTCTGAGCTTCCCTTTCAAATGGGGCAGGCGCTTCCTTTAAGATCTAACTCTAGGGGCAGTGGCTGTCCTACCCCGGTTCTGCCTCCCTCCCTCCCTCCCTCAATGCCACCTGAGCTGTCCCAAAGAGCAGCCCTTGCTGGTGGCCCACAGGGGCTTGGTGAGGGGCCGGGGCCTCCAGGGAGGGCCAGTGGAACACCCCAGCCAGCAGGTCACAGAGGCCTCCCCAGGGGAGGAGGGCCCAACTGGGGGACTCAGGACGCTGTCCCCTTTGTCTCCCAGCAAAAGGAGCAGGAAACCATGAAGCTGAGGCAGGAGGTGGAGACGCTGCAGACTCAGAAACAGGAGCTGCTGGAGTCATCCTCCGTGGGGAAAGATGGCGTCGCCGGCTTGAAGGAGCGGCTCTGGAAGCTGGAATCCAGCAAGCTGGAGCAAGAGAAGATCCAGAACCAGCAGGAAAATACCATCAAGCAGCTGGAGCAGGTGGGAGAGCCCTATGGGGGCAACATCCCGTCCCTTGCTGGCTGAAATGTGCAGTGCTTTCGGAGGGCATCTCCTCTGCTGCTCCTCATTCTTCCATGGCTCCCTATTACCCCAGAAAACATCTTAACTCATAAGCCTGAAGTTCAGAGCTTTCATGGTCTAGACCTCCTCTGTCATCCTGCAAGGTCAAGGTCGTCTAGGACCTCTGTGTGGGGATGTGAGTTCTGTCTCCATTCTACAGAGGTGGGAGCTGAGGTCCAGAGATACAGAGAATGTGGCAGGGTGGGATTCGGAAGTGGAGTCTTGAGACCCCAGAGAGCCTTGGCTACTGACTGTGGGCACAGCCTCCAGGGAGATTGGCATGCCCATCTTGGAAAAATAGAAACTCACCAAGAGATAAGGAGCCAGTCAGGATGTCCGCTACCGTAGCACAGAATCTCAAGGAAGCCGAAGAATCCATTTTATTTGCTTGCTTGTGTGAACGTCTACCTCATTCCAAGGAGCATAGGAGGCAGCTTCTAAGACAGATGCAAAACAACAATAAGATTCTAAGTAAAACAGTCTGGGCCAGAAAAGTACCAACTAAAATAGACACTAAAGAGAGTGTGGGGAAAGTGAGCCAATAAGTGATAGGCAAAACATGTGTTCTTACACATGTGACAGTTTTATCTCTAAAATTCCTGGTGGCCAGAGGGAAAAAGGAAATGTGAGGCCTATGCTTTTTTTTTCTTATGCCCAAGACAAAAACCAGAATCAAAACAAAACCAAAAAGTCAGATTTTCAAGAAGTGGCTTCTGAGGCTCAGCGCTAAAGGAATTTGTCATGTAGGATTTTGCAAAATCCTACATGACAAATGTTTAAAAAGGCTGGGAGCCTCTTATGCAAGAAAATGGGACTGAGTGACATAAACGTGTAAAGCAGTTGAACTCTAAGCACCTCAGTGGAAGCCGTGGCGCCAGCCCTTGCTTCTCGCCCACTCTCGTTGCATCCGGCAGGATGGAGCCTCCTGAGTAGGCGTTTGGGGTCTGGAGAGTCTTGAACGCTCATTAAGGAGAGTGAAGAAAGCAGAGCTCATGTTCAGTCAGCCAGATGCAGGGAGTTCTTCTTCTTTGTCAGGCACCGTGTAGATCTGAGGATGCAGAGTCAGAAAGGGTCTCTGCTTTCCCAAACTTTACAGTTCTGCTGGGTATCACAGGAATGTGGAACTTGCAGAACTAGTCTTGGCAGAAGGGTTGGGGGAGAGGTCAAGAAGACACCCTGGAGGAAGTGACATTTCTTGAAGCCGAAAGCTGAGGGATGAGTCTGAATTGGTTGAATATGAGAGTTCTGTGCAGGGCAGAGCCTGTGCAAAGGCCCGGTGGCCAGAAAATCATGTGACATTTAACAAGTCCTAATGATGCCACATCCAGATGGAGACTTTGAGGCAGCTCAGTGTCTGTATGACCTTACAGAAGAAGGTGCTGTAATCCCAAGGCCCGAGTCCCCTCCCATGTGCAGTGAAATATGGAACAACCCCCTAACTGCCTCCAACCCCGCTCTGAACCTGTGACCATCCCTGCAGAATGTGGAATGTTGGGGGAGGTATTTAGGGGACATGCAGGATGTCCCTTAAATGCAGCATCCTGTAGCAACCTGGTGTTCTCCAAATGAGCAGGATCCTTACAGAGGCAGTAAGACAAGCACTTCTGGAAATCGCATGGGCTCTTGGTGACACCAGCAGGTCTCCCTTCAGCTCTGGGAGCAGGAAAGCCCCACCAGGACTCAGGAGAGTGGAAGTCAATGCCCCTTAGCTTCCTGCCCTGGGCCACCGGGGGAGGCTGACTCACGCCCTCATCCGTCTTCAGCTTCTCACGGCCCGTGTCCTTGGAGACCTCTTGTAGATATTTATTGATTACCAGACAGCACTTTTTTCCAGGGAATTTTATGTTAACTCATATAAGCCTGACATAAATGGTACTGCAGATGTCAGAAGTGTCCAAGGGGCGAGGAAAAATGAAAGGGAAATATTCTATTAACTTGCTTAGGCTCCTCATTTTGGATTATCTTCCCATAAACTCTGTCATTTTAAAGGCGGGAAGGAAGGAGCCCGACAGTTAACAGTGAGCCTGCTCTATGCTGGGGACGATGATGGGGCTCTGGTCCTTTTTACTCTTCGCCACAGTCCTACGTAGCGAGGAACATTCTCAACATTTTGAGAAGCTGAGATTGTATTTTCTCAACCTAATTTCCATGCTAAAGGCAGCGGTTGTGAAATTCTGGAGCAGGCCTGAGYTTGGGTTCATCTCAAGCGTGTTCAGAAGGATTCTGAGGCTGCATCTAACCTCGGTGGAGAATGTGCTGGGTTCCGGGTGTGTCTGTTGTAACCACAGAAGGGGAGGAAGCCTTTGGGCTGTTTATCTACCATTTCCAGGGTGCTGAGGGAGAGAATGTGATTCTCCTCTGTGCAGTAAGAATGGAAAAATGTGGCTGGGTACAGTGGTGCAGGTCTGTCATCCCAGCAGCTCAGGAGGCTGAGGCAGGAGGATCCCGAGTTCAAAGCCAGCCTCAGCCACAGCGAGGCCCTGAGCAGCTCCATGAGACCCTGTCTCTAAACAAAATGCAGAATAGGGCTGGGGTGGGGCTCAGTGGTCGGGGGCCCCCGAGTTCAATCTCCAGTACCCCCCCACCCTCAAATAAAATAGGGGATGCTGAGGGAGTGGCCCTGGGCCGCCCTCATGCCCATCCTTGCTTGCTGTCCCCAGCTCCGCCAGCGGTTTGAACTGGAAATAGAGAGGATGAAGCAGATGCATCAGAAGGACCGGGAGGACCAAGAGGAGGAGCTGGAGGACATCCGTCAGTCCTGCCAGAAGCGGGTATGTGACCGCCCCTCAGCTGTGCCCAGGTCCTGGCCGGTCCCCGCCGGCYGCCTCAGCCCTGCAGTGAAGGAGGAGGCCGGGCCTGGGGCTGGGGACAAGGGCCTTCCTGCAGCCACCTAGACCTGGGATCCCTAAGGACTTTCAAGCGTGCAGGACCAGAGCACCTACCTTCAGTAGGAGCTGGAACTTCCAGAAGCCTCTGGACCTTCCAGCAGCATCAGCCCAAGGTCTCTGTCGGGAGCCCGTCAGGCCTCGAGACTCTTGGGGAAGGAGCTCTGAATCCCTCAGATGCTCCTCCGACTAGTCCCCTTGCTGCTCAGATCCTTTCTTGATTCTTCCCCCTCTGGTGCTGGGACGACCCAGGGCCTTGTGCCTGTGGTGAAAGCACGCCACCTACTGAGCTGCACCCCAGCCCTCAGATCATGTCTTACATTTGATCCACTCTCGGTAGACGTGGCAGCCAGTGCGTAAGAGAGCACAAGCCCTGACAGGTTGCCCCTAGAAACCACCAGGATGGCTATTGTAAACACCTTTTCGTCTCTCCCCTCACACTGCATGTGCATGTACGGATTTGCACAGATATGATCTTTACTACATGGGGTCAAGGTCTTTTGGAGTCCACTATCTTCACTCAGTAGTGGATGCTGCCTCTTAAACCATGGGCTCTATTTTATTTAATGAATYCCCTAGCATTGGACACTTCAGTTGTTCCTGGTTTTCTGCTGTTAGAACTAAGGCTGGGACAARCATCCTTAAGGGTGTATTGAGATGCAGATGGAAGCTAAATCCCTCAAGGGAGGTGGCCTGAACTGGCTCCCACAGTCCCCCTCTCCCCTACTCCATCCCCATCACACCTGTGAATACCAGGTGGACATGTTTTACGGATTTTATTATTCTATAGAATAATGTATGGTATAGATTTATTATTTTATATATTGTTTCAAGAAGAGCTTTAGCTTTTCTAGTCTTCTGATCGGAGTGCAGTTGCTTCTGTTTCTTACTCTGAAAAGGAAGTGTTGGAATGAGCCTGCTCTCTGCAGAAATGGCCCTCACTCCGCCCTGTCCTTCCTCCTGAGACAGATGCCCTTAGTCTTGCTCACGTTACGTCAGGTGGAGGATGTGCAGATTTCTGGTTTGTTCCAAGAGTAYGCTGTGTGCCCTGAACCCAGTCTCAGATGAGCTAGGATGCAACCCGGACCCTCCCGATGCTCTTCCTTGGACACATTTATGAAGGGAGAGCGTGAGGTCAGAGAAAGGGGATTTTCTCTTTACGACAGCCCCTGACATTGGCTCCGCAGCCTCCTGGCGGCTCTGTGCAGACTATCCCTCACTGTGGCAGGAAATCAACCGTGAGCAACCCTGGCACTGCTGTGGCTGTCTGGGGTGGCACAAAGATCTGGGGCCGTGAGACAGGACGCTAATTCCGACTTCAGAATATGCACTTTGGCTTCTCCCTGGGACTTAGTTCGCCCATCTGTGAAACAGGGCCAGGAAAGGAATGAATKAATACACGTGAGAGAGGCCGGTGGGGGCTTTGCAGCCTACAGCTACCGGGAGATATTCACTCTGTGATCAGTGCCTGTGTTGGGCTGCTAATAGCTGAGAAATCAGAGCCAAGTATAAATTAAATGAGTTGCTATTAGTTGAAYGTCTCGTTGGAGCAGAGCGCCGTGGACAGGAGGCTTCGGTGGCARGCTGCTCCATGGTATATTTAATAAAAATGTCGGCTCTCACTGTGTGTGGAGGCTGCCGAGACCTGAGAATACCCAGGCAGGGCGAGGCCGCAGGAGGGAGACCTGCGTTCTGTTAGAACTTCACAGTCAGTTGCCGGGGCTCCCCATCGTCACCCGGGGCTCCCAAGCGTTTAGTCTCCCGACCGCCCTGACAGATGGGGCCCCTGGGCCTCCCTCCTCCCGAGGGGCCTGGTGCTGGGGGATGGTCCGCCTGGGGCTCGCTCACCTCTGCCTGGTCTGCCCTTGTGCCTGCAGCTCCACCAGCTGGAGATGCAGCTGGAGCAGGAACACGAGGAGAAGCAGATGGTGCTCCACGAGAAGCAGGACCTGGAAGGCTTGATCGGGACCCTGTGTGACCAGGTGAGGGCCACGGTGCAGGCGCTCTGTCAGGAGGGCGGGGGCGGGGGGAGCCAGGTGGAGGGCAGACAGCTCCCGGGCTTCAGGAGGGGCCGGGGTGGGGCCTTCTGGGTGGCCTCCCTGTGCCCTCTTGTCGGCCCATTCCCTCCTGCACATCCCCTCCGGTYTCCAGGGGTGACTGCAGGGCTCAACAGAACTCGGGGGAATCTGCAGAGCGGGTCAACCAGCAGCCATTGGGGGTCGGGGGTCGCGTTGCCTTCAGCATCTGTTGGACAAGACTGTAGAGGGCTCGTGTGGAAACCGGGAGAATCTGAGTGGCCGCTGCGCTCATGGCTGGCCACATGAGACGGGGTCTGTGTGTGTGTCCTGTGTGAGGGGGGAGGGGGCACTAGAGGTTGAACCCAAGGCCTGGCATGTGCTAGGCAAGTGCCCCAYCATGGAGCCACATCCCAGCTGAGTTTTATTTTGAGACACAGGGTCTTGCTGAGCTACTGAGGCTGGCCTTGAACTTTTGATCCTCCAGCCTCAGCCTCCCAAGTAGCTGGGATCACAGGTGCGCACCACCAGGCCTGGCTGAGCTGAGCCTTTTGCTAGAAGCAGCCAGACCCAGAGTCAGGCCCATGTCGCTTTAAGCCCCAGCTGGGCTTTCTGTCTCCGTGGCCTGGGGTGAACCAGTTCCCCACTCTGAGCTTCTGGGAAAGCAAACCGTGCGGGGCTGCTGCCTTCGCCGTGCGCTGGGGTGCTCAGCTGCATGCTGTGGACGGATGGAGTGGGCTCCTTTTCTGCGGTGGGGTGACCTGTGCATTGTAGGAAGTCGAGCAGCCTCCCTGGAGATGCCAGTAGCACACTCCTCAGTTGTGACAACTGGAAATGTCCGGCAGGCAGTGCTGAGTGTCCTGAGAATGAGCATCGACCTCTGCCACCATAAGGAACCACTGCTGCACCCAACGTCGCTGGGGGGGCTTCCGGCCTCAGGACAGGGAGGGCTCRTTCCTCTGCCCCCAGAGCGCGCCTTCCCCGCTCACTGTGCTGGGTGGAGTCTCAGCACGGCAGAGCTCGCGTGACTTCTTTTAAACCATCCCACGAGTGTATCTTAATACGGGTGCTCCGCGGGCGTGCTGTCTGTGCATAAGCAGCGTTCAGCACCCTTCCTTCCCCAAGCTCACTGACTTTGTTCACCAAAGGCCTGATGTGTCGCTCAGATGGTCACCCAGGGCAGCCAGGCCTGGAACAAAACAAATGCTCACTTTGCATTTTAAAAACCAAACCAATTCAGTGAGTGGACTCTGGAACAGGGCGCCATGGTGGCAGGAGTCAGGTGACCGGCCAAGGGGATTGACAGGCAGTGGTAGATCATCCTTCTTCAGGGTGTCCAGTTGTCCAGCAGGGCAGCTGGGATCACTGAGCACAGAGTCCCTGGAGTCACAGGGCACGGGGCAGCCTAGGACCTGATTCTAGAAGGACACTCAGTTCTGTCCACTAGAAAACACAATGTTGCCAATCTTGCTGGCCCAGAAAGAGAGGTTTGGGGGCTGGGCGTGTTGCTGGGGGTAGAGCGCTCGCCTAGCTTGTGTGGGGCCCAGGGTTCCACCCCAGCACTGCAAGAGAGAGAAACAGACAGACAGACAGACAGACACTCTSTTGGTGTCCCTTTCTCATTCCATCCCCTCTCCCTAGTTCTCGAGTCTGTCTATCTGAGCTCTGACTCTGTATAGGGATATGGTTCCATACTGTCATTTCCCCACCTCCATCCTGGTTTCCAGATCAGTCTGCGTGGTGCACATAGCTCTTATCCATTCAACGGTGACCCAGTCCTCCTTTAAAAAAAAAWAAAATCCTGTTCTTACACTGACGGATGTTTGGGTTTCACCGTGAGACCTACAGCCACAGTGCTCGTTCCCGTCTGCCTTGCTGTGCCCCGAGGTGGAGGTGTGTCCGGGCTGTGTGACTAGGAGAGCAGTCGCTGGCTGCTAGAAATGCACAATTTTGGAATTCATAACTGTCACCCAAATGGTCCCCTCAGGTGGCTGCAGCACTTTCCCCTGTCACCAGCCGTRTCTGAGGCTTTGCTTTCTCCACACCCCCCAACACGTGGCCGAGTCAGGCTTTCCAGATTTCCCCCAGGCGTGGGGTATGGAGTGTACCGTGTGTCTCTTGTCACCCCTAGAATCACCTGTTCCGCACACAATTATTGTGGCTTTCTCTGATAGGAATGGCCTCTCCACGGGCTTTGTTTTGATTTTTTTCCTGTTATTCATTCATGATCTTTATGCAACGTGTTAATTCACTTTGGGAATTATCTTTGGTGAACATCTCCTGTTCTGTGGAGAATCATTTCCCCCTTAGATCCTTCACGTAATAAAAAGTGTTTTTAATGCAGACATATGAATTAATATTTTTGAAAAATATTTTTTGCATTGGTAATCCATATTTTTTTAAAAATAGTTTTTACACCATCTAAAATTTTGTTCTTGAAATCATTCAGTCTCTGAGCCATCTGGACTTTATTGTGTAGGGTGAGGCCGGTGTCTTTGGTTTTACACTTTCCATGTGTGGGTGGGTGTTTCTTGGGCTCCCAGTTCAAGTTCACTGGCTCATTGGTCTATTCCTTCTCCTGCACCATGTGGTGCATTTTTGTTTCTGGTTTGTCTTTGTGCTGGGGACCCGGCCCCGGACCTCGTGCATGCTGAGCCACTGGTCTGCCACTAAGTGACACCCTCAGCCTGCACCATGTGGCTGGGTTTGGAGAACTTCTAGAACAGCTTACCTTGCTTGCCTTTAAATTGCCTGTGTCCTTGCTCTTTTACTCTTCTTAAGAGTTTATGTTCTGGCAATGTGGCTCATGATGACATACACAACTAGTATACGCCATGCCCTAGGTTTCTTCCCCAGCTATGCAAAAAAAAAAAAAAAGAATTTAATAATTTAATTTCATTCCATAACAAAAGCCACTGTAATTTTTATTGATTTATGTTAGCTGGGAACATGGACGTTATTTTTRTTGTTAAGCCATTCTCCATTATATTAATGCTCATGCCGTCTTTCTCTATTTACTGATGCCAATCGTTAATATTTTGTTATTTTTCCCCTTCCACATCTTAAGTTTTCATGTTAGATTTATTTCCAGGAAAGGGTAGTTTCCATAGTTGCTGTGACCAGCATTTTTTTCTGTATTCTAACTTTGATTTAATGCTGGTGGCACAAGGGAAAACTAATAATTATGTTGATCATAGTGATCTGGAATCCAACAAACATGCTAAACTCATTTCACATATTTCATCAGTAGATTCTTTGGGATTTTCTTCAACAACAATCTTACCATTTGAAAATGATGATGATTTTGCCTCTTGACCAAAAATTGGGGCTACAGAAAGATCTCAACAATTTCAGAGACAAATGATATGCATTTTTTCTCTTTTCTTGACTTATTGCATTGGCGTGTGCCKGTGGTATTGTAAAACTGAGTGGTGGAGGTGCTTGGCATCACTTCCTCACTCCTGGCCTTAATCAGAACACTTCCGAAGTTCTGATGGACCTGTTTGCAGTGTGTGTTTTTTTTTTTAAATATTTATTTTTTAGTTCTCGGCGGACACAACATCTTTGTTGGTATGTGGTGCTGAGGATYGAATCCGGGCCGCACGCATGCCAGGCGAGCGYGCTACCGCTTGAGCCACGTCCCCAGMCCTGCAGTGTGTTTTTGATCAGTCTTCTTTGTCCAGCATTTCTAGTTTTCTAATAATTAAAAATAAGTTTATTGAATATTCTCATATACTTTTAATTTGCACCTGTGATTCATTCTATGGCCAGCTTCTTTCATCTACTAACATAGCATATTATATTTTAGGTATTACAATGTAATCTGGTGTGTTTTCAAGATAAATTTTACTTACTCATAGGTTTTTCAATACAGTGCTCTATTGAATGGCTAACAATTTTTTCCAGGATTGCAAGTAAGATTAACTCGCAGTTTTCTTTTCTTAGACTGCCTTTGTCCGGCATTGAACTAACCTCATAAAATGAGTTCATAACTATTTTCAAAATAATTTTATAAAGTTTTAACATGTAGTTCTTGACAATTTGAAGTAATTTCCCTGTAACTCACTTGGATCCGGTTGTTTTCAGAGAGCAGAATAAATATGTAATTACTGTTTCAAATTTGTCTAAGCATAACTGAACAGAAATACAGAGTTTTTTCTCCCTTAGTGAGTGAATTTTGGTAGCTAATTTTTTCTAGACATTTATTCTTTCATCTGAATTTTGACCTAGGTTAAATAAAGATTGTTTTCATAGCACTTTTTTATGATTTTAAGAAAATTAGGTTATCATATAATTTCCATCTAAAATCATAGTAATGTTAACTTGTGAGGTTTTGTTGTGTTGACCCCACTTGCTAGATATGTGTCTGTTAGTTTTGTCAAAGGACCAGCTTTTCTATCATTACCTTATTTTATATTTATTAATTCCTGCCTTTATCTTTCCTTTGCCTTCTTACCATTAGTTTAGTCTTCTGTTCTATTTTCAGCTTCAGTGTTGAAAATTTTAACACTTTCAATATTTTACTCCATTAATTATTTTGAGAATCACACAGATTTTAAATTTTTAAACATGTTTTGGTTTATTTAAGATGTTTACCTTGATAGGATGCGTTACTGCCACCCTTAGGGTTTTTTCCTGTTTCTTGTGTTTTCCTCATTTAACCTGCAAATTATTCATGAATTAAGTTTCAAGTTTATTAACAGGATTATTTGCAGTTAATTCCAACTTTTCACTGTTAATTTTTAATGCCGTGCCGTTTGGGAAGATCACATGGTACCACACCCAGTGTTTTTTCTTTGAAATTGATGAGACCTCCTAGTTATCCTGGTTCATGCTCAAGTCTCACAGATTATCAAATGGAAGAGAATTTATAGGTATTCAGGAGACAAAGGGTCCCATACCTGGCAAATGGACCGGTTGATTTTGAAATTTTGATATCACATTCAAATATTAAAGCATAAATAAAAAGTTCAGAAAGATATGACCATATTTTTTTTGAAACACGTCTCCTGTAAACATTTCTTCATTGTCTGCTAATCCAGTTCTATTTTTTCCATACTCTTATTGGTGCATTACGATTGCCTAATGGTGGGATCCATTGTTACGYATCTGTGTAAGCACACGATGTGACGGTGTGACACGGCCACTGTCATGCTTCACTGTTTCCTCCTTCCCTCCTCTTCCCCCCTCCCCAGTCCTCTTCCTCTTCCCTACTGATCTGCTTGGGTTTTCATGAGACTCCCCGCTCCTTTCCTTCCTTTTTCCTCGTTAGCTCCCACATGACAGGAGACCCGTGACCCTTGACTTTCTGGGTTTGGCTGRTTCATGCAATATARTGTTCTCAAGTTCCATCATTTTACTGGCAATGACAATGGCATTCTTCACGGCTGAGTAGAACTCCATTGCGAGGAGCCTCTGTCCCGATTTCCATAGTGACTGTATTAACATATAGTCCCACCGAGAGGGGGATTATACAGTATATATACACATCTTCTCCCGTGTGTGTTATTGCTGATCTTCCTGGTGGCTGGGATCCTAACTGGGGTGAGATCGCATATGATGTCRTTTTGATTTGCATTCCCATGATAGGTAATGACGTTGAACGTGTCTCCATGCATTTGTTGCCCCTTTGTATTTCTTCTTTGGGGAAATGTCTGCTTAGTTTACTTGCCTGTGTATTAATTGGGCTATTTGTTGTTTTTTGAGTTATTTATATATTCTGGATTTTAACCTTCTGTCAGAAGAATAGCTAGAAAAGATTTTGTCCCATTCTGTATGTTTTTTTTATCTTCCTTTTTTTCTTTTTTTCTTTCTTTCTTTCTTCTTCTTTTTTTTTTTTTTTTGCTGTGCAGAAGCTTTTTGAGTTGATGTCATCCCATTTATTAACTTTTAGCATTATTTCCAGAGCTTTAAACTCCTGATGAGGAAGTTTTGGTCTGTTGCTCAAGTGTTGACCCTACATTTTTTTCTAGGAGTTGCAGATTTTCTGGTCTAATTCTGAGATCTTTGATCAATTTTGAGTTGACTTTTGTGTAGAGTGAGAGATAAGACTCTAGTCTCATTATTCTGCATATGGGTGACCAGTTTTCCCAGATCATTTGTGAAAAGGGCTATCTTTTTTTCCAATGCATATTTTTTGCACCTTTGTCAAGGATCTGATGAGTRTATTTGTGGGGGTTTATCTCTGTGTAAAACAGTCATGTTACATTGCTATATGATTTTCTTTTCTAAGTTTTACTAATAATTGTATTATAACTTATCTTCATATATTTTGTGGCTTATGTTTAGGTAATTCAAGTTTCATATTGCTTTATTTCCTTGGGTGACTTTTTGATTATTGTATAATGTCGCTCACTTTTTGCTACGAATGATTTTGCTTTATTTCATTTTTCTTTATTTCTTTCAGTTGGTGTGCTGCAATATAATTTTTTGTTTCTTTATTTTCAATGTCTTCAAGTGTGTGTGTGTGTGTGTGTGTGTGTGTGTGTGTGTGTTTCCTTTAAACAGCTGGGTAATTCTAATTTATATTTTAGTCTCTAATTTTCATAGGAGAATTTAATTCATTTACGTTTGTTGTAATGACGGATCTATTTGGAATTATTTGTATTCTCTTGTTTTTTTTTTTTGTTTTGTACTTGTTGGTTTTTCATTCCTATTCATTGCTCTTCCTCAGTGTCTTTCCCACGTTTAGATTGATTGATAATGTTTTCTGTTTCCTGTTGTTTTATTGCTGGTTCAGAAGCTGTGAACTACATTTCTGTTGTTTTAGTGGCTACCCATAAGAACTCGGTCATAATTCTTTGTAGTATTCATTTTCACAACAATGCTGTGGGATATATATTATTATTTCCTTCAGATAAATGAAAAYGAGGTTCAGAAAGACAAAGCAACTTGCCTGGGATTGTACAGGTCATCAATACCCCAGGTAGATTTGAAATGAGGTCTGTATTATTTGGCAGTATATAATTGTAAAAATTGAACACCATGCTGTGCTCAAAGCTGATAGAGCTGAGTTAACTAGATCCACCTTTTGTGGGCCACTTTCCCCCACAGTCTACGGGCAGCGCCCTCAGTTGCTCAGTTGCTGGGCACCCTTCTGCAACACACATATTCCTTTCTCCCATCCCCCATTTCCCCATCCTCAAAGTGGCTGGATTATCCTGACAGTCTTTCTAAATCCYATTTGAGCCGTGCTTGGAGAGTTCTTTTGACAACAGACATTTAACAACCGCCCTGAACATCTTCCTTTATGATAAACAGGGTAAYGATTGAGGTTTGCCTGTAGCTTCCCACAACAACACGAAACATCATTTAGATTTATTGGTTAATTATTCACATCTTTATCCAAATTTGAATCTGTGTGCTGCAGAATGGAAACTCTCCGAGTGGCATTTATCTCCCATTAACCTAATGGGTTTCCGCTGTCCCCTCCTCTCCTGTAGYGCGACTCATTAGGAAGGAGAGGGTGGCTGGCTCTGAGGTTCTGTTGTGAATTTCGTCTCTCTGTGGGAGATGGTGCCGGCCTTTTCAAGGGCTTYCTGACATTGAAGGCTGTAGAATCTGAGCTGTCCCTACCACAGGGTCAGTGCCAGCCTTGGGCCATTGCTGATCGCAACTCGTTCCACAGAAGAACCAAAGGCACCATAGGGTGTGCCTGGAGTCAAAGCAGACACAAAAACAGGGAGGGTGCGGGACCTCCTGCGTTAATGCAATCACTCCACCCCACGGGCGCAGTCCCACGTAAAATCAGGACTCTAGAGGGAGTGAATCCGGGCTTGGAGCGTGGCAGACACTGTGGTGCAGTGGTTAGAGACTGATGCTGGAAGGCCTGGGTTCGAATCCCTGCACAGCCACTTAGGAGCAGCTTGGCCTTGGCAGCTCACGCACCCCATCTTTACCAGCTTTGCCAGCTCTGCCTTGTTTCCCCCAKGATGGTGCACACGTAAGAGTGATTCCTTCTGCTTTGTGACCTGCCCCCATGGTGCCATGCCACCCATCAAGACATGCAGATACCACATAGAGTCTCACCTCCATCTTGCTCATTCAGGGGCTTCTGCCTGCAGCCCCCTTGCCACACCCACCCTGGTTGGGAGGAGCCGGTGCCCACCTCCAGGCTCCATCGCGGCCTCTGCTCCCTGGGGCCTCCGTGCCTCCACGCCACTTTGTTATATAAATCAAAGAGCAAAACAGGGCTCTCTCCTGGTTCCTCTTGCTAAAATGACCTCTTTGCAAAAACCGGGTTTGTATCTCAACACTGCCTCATACTAACTGTGATCTTGGGCAGGTGACTTCTGTGACCCTCAGTTCRCCCTCTGTTCAGTGGGAGTCACGAGACCAATGCCCCCAGGTCCATCGTCATGGCTGAAGGTTGAACACCCACCAAGTGCTTTGAATAGGGCCTGACGCGTAGAAGGCTCTCTATGAACCTAAGCTGTCACTCTTTTAATAAAGGCAATAATCATAATAATAATGTTGATTTTTTAAGTGACTGTTGTCACAGGATAATACCGTGTGACAGAGAGCCCGGTGCATGCCCAGCCCTCAGCTCAGCTCACGGGGGAGGTAGGTAGGTAGGTAGACGGATGATGGATAGATCTCCTGGGCCAGCATTTTAAATTCACCAGAGCAAGCATCCAAGGAAAAGGAGCTTACATTCTAAGAACCAACTCATTTTTCAAAGAATTCAAAACAGGTGGTAGAGAAATAGCCATGTCAAGTGCACAGGAGAGGAGCACTGGCTGGGTCACCGGGCGGGCCTCCTAATCCGCTGTTTGTAAGGTGCCTGGCGGGGAAGAGTGCTTTGCCATCCATTATCACACATGATCCTCGTCTTATCTCGACACGGAGGACAGGGATTTGTATTTTCACCTCTCTCCTTATAGATAAGGAAGCTCAGATTCAGAGAGATTGTGTGACTCTGTGGCTGAGGTTCCTGCCGTCAGAACACGGAGAGCAGGGGTTCAAAGCCCCGGCCTCCTGATTCTCAATCCCACGTTCTTTCTAGAACATTCTGGGGCATTCTGTGAGTCCTGGCAGATGGTCAGCATTTGGCACAGAGGCACAGTTTCCTGCTGGGTAGACCCCATTCCCAGTAGGAGGCACCTGCACCGTTTTCTTTAAACCTCCCTCTGAGGGGTGTCTCCTGTCCTCTGCTGTCGTCTCCTGTGGAGCCCAGTAAGGAGCCAGTTCTTCTCCCAGGGCCCTGACAGAGGGCTCTGCTTCCGGAGGAGACCAAGTCGTGGAATGTCAGGGTGCCTCCCCTGCCACCTGCCCCCGGGGTTAGATGTCAGACACGTCAGGTCACCTCCTGGAGCTCCGTCCAGGGTGTGGCCGCTGCCCCTGCATGTTGGGATTCTGGGGGAGGGATGTGCTGCCCTCTGTGCAGTTCCTTCTGCAGGAGGTGATGGCCCTGCCTGTCCTTGGACAGGAAAAGGGACATAGAAAAGCTGCGCTTTGATCCTCAAAAAGAACGCAGCTCTTCTTTGCCGAGGGKGACACCCATGGGGAGAAGCGGAGTACCCCCAGGCACAGCCTGCAGTGCGACAGGCACACAGAGGAGCGCGCCACCCCATGGGCACAGTCCCACGAATGGCCGTAACTCGTCGGGCGGCACCCGGGGCCATGACGTTAGTCCTCCCTCGGGCCAGGCTCCTCTGTCCTGCTCAGGGCTGTCCTGACTGCGGTCAGCAGAGCCTGGCCAGCAGCGGAGGCCTCGCCCAGCAGGGGAGTCTCTCAGGAGCTGAGGTGAGGTCATAGGGAGAGCTTGGTGACCACGATGGCCCCAAGGACTTGGGAGCCCACAGGCTGTTTGGCAGATGAGGAAACGGAGGCTGAAGGAGCCGTGGGAACCGCCCGGGATCCACGGTGGGAGGGAGGGCCGGGCGCTCGGCTCCGCCCTGGCCACGTCTCCAGCCAGGCTCACGGCCCTCTCCCTGGGTTCCAGATCGGCCACCGGGATTTCGACGTGGAGAAGCGTCTTCGGAGGGACCTGAAGAGGACGCACGCCCTTCTGTCCGACGTCCAGCTTCTTCTGGCCACCATGGAGGACAGCAAGACCTCTGTCAGCAAGGAGGAGCTGGAGAAGGTGCACAGCCAGGTGGGCGTCACGGTCCCCTCCAGAGTGAGGCAGGGGACGCTGCGGCTGCCAGGGGAGGGTGGCATGAGCGGGGTCAGGGCACCAACTTCCAGCCTCCACAGAMCCGCAGGGATGTGGGGACGTCACGGGCTGGGGAAGTCGCGTGGCAGTGGCCGGTGGGTGGGGGGTGGCTTATGAGGAACTGAGGGGTCCTGTTCCCTTCTGTGCCTGCACTGAGATTATGGCCGTGTGTGTGTGAGTGTGAGTGTGTGAGTGTGGGTGTCTGTGTGTGTGAGTGTGAGTGTGTGTGTGAGTGTGGGTGGGTGTCTGTGTGTGTGTTCGTGAATGAAAACCAACCCGGTGACGTCGATCACGTTATCTGTGGGACCGCTGGCTGCCATCACCTGGAGCCACCCGGGTGCTAGGCCCTCTCTCCTTGTCTAGTGGTGTTCTCAGGACAGCKAACTGTGGTGAGGCTCTTCAAGTGAGGTGACGGGTGACCAAGAGGTGAGACGACTCGCCCACAGTTACATAGCTAGAGAGTGGCTGGGCCAGGATTCGAACCCAGATCTCCAGGCTCCTCTGTTCCTGGCTGCCTCAGAGCTGTGGCATTAGACCTGAGGGTGGATGGGAGGTGAGGCCAAGGCAGGAGTTGGTGACCTCGGCAGCCATGATGAGTGTGGCCCAAGGCGGGTGACTGGTGCTGAGAGGTGAGCAGATCCTGCAATGGGGTGTGAGCTTTGAGGGGGTCTCAGAGCCTAATGGTGTAGCCAGCAGGGACACAGGGCTTGTCACCAGTCCCCAGGGGGAGCTTTAAACCAGCAAGGCTCCGAGCCTTGCTGGAAATGTGTTTGTCTCTTGGTGACATCCCAGGAGCCCCGAGTCTCCCTTGGATAAGCCATCTGGTGGAGCCCTGGYAGGTTCACCTCCTTCCTCTCCTCCTCCTCCTCTGGATTCTATCATCTGGCCTTATCTGTCCACATGGCCAAGACCTTCTTCACAGTCACACAATGTCCCTGAGAACTCTGCACCGACTCCCCAACAAAACTGTAAGCTTCCTGAGGGGCAGGAACTTTGTTCATCATCTCTGATGGAACCTGCCCAGTCCTTTGCACATCAAAAATGGGCTTCTCTCGTGATCTGTTGGCTGTTCTCCTTGTTTTGTGGATGAGGAAACTGAGGGTCAGAGCGGCCCAAGGTCACACAGCCAGTCAGAGGCAGAGCATGTCTGGAGCCCACACCTCCTGACTCCAGGCCTAATGCTCCTCTCTCCTCTTTCTGGAAAACAAGCTCATGACAGTCGCGGGTCCCCTGATGGCAGCAGACGGCATCAGGAGGAGCAGAGTCSAGCACCAGTGGTGGAAACCGAGGTCCCAGAGCTTCTCCTGCTCCTTCTGCCCCCGTCTCTGTTTCTCTGTAGAGTGGACCATTGGGGGCAGAGCTTAGTCACGGAACTGGAGCTTTAAAAAATCCCTATTCGGGCTCCACTCAGATCTCACCAGTTTCTCCATGAACACCCTTCTCCTGCCCCGGGTCCCAGGCCAGGGCGCAGCACGGCATTCAGTGGTCACCCCTGACGGTTCTGCTCTGGGACCGCGTCCMGGCCTTGCCTCGGTCTTCCTGCCCWGGGCAGYGWGGGGCAGCACTGCCCGGGTTCTGCGGTCTGGCCTTGTGCTCTGCTTCCTCAGGCTGCGATGGCGTGTGTGCCTCTGGGGAAAGAACATTCCGGGTCCTTCCATCCCCAGAGTCTGCGTCTTAGCTGTCCCCTCCTCCAGTGCTTCTGTCCCGGTGACCCACTGTCCTGGCTGGTCCAGGACTTTCCTGGCTTCAGAGCTGAACGTCCCGTGTCCTGAGCCAGCCCCAGCCCCTGGCACACKGGGCATCTGGCCATTTCTGTCACCTGGGCCAGCCGTGGCCCCTCAGTTAACTGCCATGAGACCCCCGGGAAAGGGGAGTTCGGATCGTGTCCATTTTACAGTCGGGAACACTTGCCCCGAGGTGGCAGTGGCTGTGGGCAGGGTAACGGCAGGAGGGGGCAGAGCTGGGGTCAGACCCAGCCCGTGACATGAGGAGCAGGACCTGGGGTRGCCCTGCCTCTCGCCATCTTCCGTACTCGACCGACCAAGGGAGCCCCCCGGGGAGGCAGAGATGCCACAGCGGGGTCCCTGCAGCCCCTGGGGGAGAGGGCCCTGTGCCCAGTGGACCTGCCATCCAAGTGCTCCCGTCGCCATGGCAACCCGCCTCCCCTCCCCCACAGGTGGCYGCTCTCTCAGGGGAACAGGGCGGTTCTGTTTCTTTTCCTTTYTTCCCCCCTTTTAAACRTATTCATGAGGACCCTCCCTCTGCGGGGCTGAAATGTGTGTTCTTGGGAAATAGTGGATTTCACGAAGGCGCCTGGAGCCCAATCAAAGGGCTTCATTCTTCTGAAAGTTCTTCTCGCCGTCCCCCCGCGTCCGCTCCCATCAAAGGAAGCCCAGGGCTCTGGCTCGCCGTCACCGTTGTCATGGAGATTGTCTGAAGGATGGGATCGCGTRGACCAGAGGTCAGCCCGCAGTCCCTCTGGCTCCCAGCACACGTGTCCCCGAGGCCGGAGTCAGAGCTAATCAAATAAAGCRGCGATGACATTGGGCGTCGCTGCTTCTCTGCCCTGACTGACGGCTGGCGATTGTCCTGTGCCTGAGGCTGCCCCACCAGGGAGGAGCGCAGACCTTGGGGAAGGGACAGGCCGAGAAATGCTCATATCCATCCACGGGGTGTCGACTGGCGCCCCCTGGGGGTCACCTGATAGCTGGGTCCAGGTCAGGTGGGTCCCGAGGCAGCTGTGGTGTCCAGCTTCATGAATGGACGTCTGACCACAGACCCTCCAGCACGGGGCGGGGGGAATGCATGGGCCAGTCCTGCACCATTACTGGGTGAGACAGGAAATGCTCAAGGTCCTGGGGTACAGAAGGGTGGAGGTCTCCTTTACCTCTGGGGGTGGGGTCAGCCCACCACCTGGGGAGGAAGAACAGGCAGGGCCTGGAAGGGTTTGGCTTTTAACCCCGGATTGRTGGAGCCGAGTATGACGGAATCCCATCCATGTTTTAGGGGCTCTCTCTTCTGGGTGCAGAATAGGTTTAAGGGGGGAGAGTGGTACTCTTAAGAGGCCAATGCTCCCTCCCAGGCYAGAGGAAATGGTCACCTGGTTCAGGGGACTTTGGTGACATGGCAAAAAAGGAGACACTCAGGACTCATTCAGGTTGATGGAATTCCCAGGTCGAGTTTGGCTGGCCACTTTAAGCGTGTTAATTCAGATGGTCCTGGCCATAGCCCTRGGAGGTGGACACTCCTCTGTTTGACCCTTTTTACTCTCAAGGGGGGCAGGCTCAGAGAGGCTGAGGACTTTACCCAAGGACACACAGCCAGATATGTCTGCAAACTCTGAATGCAGCAGCTCTTATCCTTGCAATTTGGTCTGCCTGCCCTGGGTCCTGTTAGCATTTATTGAGTTCCTACTGAGTTCTGGGCTTTACCTTGGTGTCTCAGGGGCTCTCAGYCTTGGCCACACATCAGAGAACTAAAGCACTAATTTGAAAACCACCAATTTCTGGATCCAATTACCTAGATCCCCTTTTTTTGCATGAAGTCCAGGTTGGGACCCAGGATCTACATTATCCAACAACCGTATAGGGAGACTCTGGTGCTGTTCTTAGGATGAACATTTGGGCCTCACCAGCTTCCTGTATCCACAAAACGCCCTTTGAGTCCRGCAGCAATAGGTCCATTTTGCAGATGAGAAACTTACTAGCAAGGTTATGTCTGTGTGACAGATCTGAGTTGTACTCAGGTTAAAATTAAGCAAATTTTGAGACAAGAGAGCTGCATCTGGCACTTTCTAACTCTGTGACTTTTGCCAAGCTGAGCGTTGGTGCTGCTCAGTGTCCTGGGTGGCGGGCCTGGTGGGGAACGCGGCAGGGGCGGCAGAAGCCTGGGTGGTGCAGAACCAGGGGAAGTTCTTAACTTTGCTTTGGAGAGGAGCTAGTAACTCGGGCTGTGCCTACGGATGCACTGCTGTTAGGGAAGGTGCACAGTCCAGAAGGGGCCTTGGTGCAGAGGGTAGCAGGGAAGCCCATTCCATCCGRCACAGCATTGCCGGGGCAGGAAGTCCTCAGGAGGCGTGGGGACTACTGGTGTCAGAGGTTACAGCCAGATCATGGATGGCTTAGTGAGCTGGGTAAGGAACTTGAACTTCATCTCCAAAATATTAGGAAGCCATAGGAAAGTATTGATCAGAGGAGGAAATGACTGGACCAACTTTAAAACACAAAACAATAACAACAAAAACATAAGACAACAACAACAACACAAAGAAACCCAAATGGCAGGATTCCAGACTCCAGCCAGCACCAGTGCCTGAACATGCAGAAGATCAGGCTCTATCAGTGTCACCAGAAGTTCCTGGTACAGCATCTTCTCTCCTTATGGACAGGTGCCCCTGAGCTACCATCCCCACACCTAGCACCCTAAGAGAATCCCTCAGCTCTTTCCACCCCATGTTCCTCCTTGGAAACCTCCAACATATTCCTATGAAGCCTCAGAACCTCCTGGTGGAGCTCAGAGGAYCCCAGAAGGTTTGGAGCACAGTGGCCGACCTCCTGGGTTCAGAGCCTGCCTCTGCTTTTATGAACTCTGCCACCTTGGCATTTTGAAGAGCCAATTCCTTACCTAATAAGGGGGCACGATACTCCCAGCCGAGGGATTGGTGTCGAGGACAGGAGGCCATGGATTTGAAAGACTGAGGTAAATGGAAAATTCCACGACAGCACTTTACATGGGATCAGCCTTCACTGCCTGCCTGGGCTGCTTCCTGTGTAGGCTGTTGCAAGACGTCGATTTCTGGGCGCACGATTTGATGTGGCCTCCTGCAATCCGTAGGCAAGGTGCGTGTGGGGGGCTCCAACGGCACCTGTTCTCTCCGAGCCAATTATTAATCAATTCCCACGGAACGTTGCCACTGGAAACAAACTAATCTGGAGACAGAA